CCCCCACGAGCGCACACACACGCACACACACACACACACGTAGTACTGTATAATTCCATGTTCTAGCGGAAGATTCATTCGATTTTGCCTTTTTTTTTTTTGATTGATTGATTGATTGATTGATTGATAATTGATTGATTGATTGATTGATTGATTGATTGATTGATTGATTGATTGGTGGGGGCGGAGTCGGCCCCCCACCACCCACACGAGCGCACAAACACACACACACACACACACACACACACACACACACACACACACACACACACACACACACACACACACACACATGCGCGCGCGCACGTAATACTGTATAATTCCATGTTCTGGCGGAAGATTCATTCGATTTTGCCTTCTTTTTTTTTTGATTGATTTATTGATTGATTGATTGATTGATTGATTGGTGGGGGCGGGGTCGCCTCCCCAGCCCCCACACGAGCGCGCATACACACACACACACACATACATGCGCGGCGCGCGGAAAACACACACACACACACATACACGTGCGGAGCGCGGAAAACACACACACACACACACACACACACACACATGCGCACACACACACGCACACACACACGCACAAACACACGCACACACACACACTCGCACACACACTGTAATAAGGAAACAATAAAGGAATGAAAAAAAAAAGAACTTTTTTTTTTTTTTCATTCCTTGATTATTTCCTTATTACACAACAAAAGAAAATTAAAAAAATTATGTAAAAGTGAAGAATACAAAGAACTGCCAACCAAAAATCCCCCCCCCCCCAAAAAAAAAACTTTTTAATTTTTTTTTTTTTTTTAATTTCTCTTCTCAACCTTTTATGTTTTTGATGTTTTATAATTCTTTAACATGGCCTTTTTCCAAAAAACAAAAATGGGGTTGCAGGGATTAAGAATCCCTACAATCCCCATATTTTTATTTAGTTTTGGGCTTATTAAATAAATTAGGAAAAATGCGGTAAATTCACGTCCGTAGCGCGGACGAGGCCAGCAACGGACGGGACCGTATATGTGGCCGCCCTCCGTTCTCGACCCCGCGGACGTGTCCGCGGGACGTGTCCGCGGGTGTTTCGTAGCTCGAAAAAGCTCCAAGGATGAATCTCTAAGCCGACGCTCCAAGGACACGGTGTAACGATGACGCTGAAAATGATAAATTAATCAAAGGACCTCCTCCTAATTCCTGAGGATTTTCCAAGGAGGGTGAAACAAGGCCTATACTCTCTGGTTTTGTTTTCTCTTTGGGTTTCATACACTCGATCTGGAACGAGGGGTACAAGCCCTTTCTGAGGCTCGGCGTTTGTTAGAGTAAGGTGTGCATGTGGTACTCAGGTAGAACTAGGTGAATTCTTGGAACTCGGTCCTCGACTCTCTCAGATTTATTTCGAAAACTGTTTAGGATTTATAGTGGGTTGTTCGGACTACTTAAGAAAATATGGAGATAGTGTTTAGTACAGTGCTCCATCTCCTTAAGTCTCTGCAGGTCCTCCCTCATTACTCCAGATGGCTCACCAGTACATGGACGAGTCTTATGGCGGTCATCACATTCAGGTGTAGTGATCGAGATAGTACCTCTCTTATTCCCAGGTCTGAGGGCCTCATTCATCCATAGCCCAGTCTCTCCCGTCGATTGCTCCTTCTCCTTCCTCAATAGGCCCACTTCTGCCTTCAATTGCACTAGCAGCTCCTTGTCCAAGGAGAGAAGGTTAACAACAGTCGTATTTTTCATCACCACTTCAGGACACCCTTCACCACTTTAGGATGCAGCCTGCCTAAACAAGTGGTTTTCAGGGTGTTCGGACCTTTCACCACTTCAGGACCATTCAGGTATAAAAATTTTGAATGGTCCTAGAGTGGTGAAAGCTCTAAAGACCTTGAAAACCACATGTTTAGGCAGGTTGCATCCTCCAATGGTGAAGGGTGGTTTTCATGGTCTTCGGACCTTTCACCATTCGGGACCATTCATGATTTTCAGACTGCCAAAAACTCTCACTTGACCACTTCAGGACACCCTTCACCACTTCAGGATGCAGTCTTCCTACCCATGTGGTTTTTAGGGTCTTCGTACCTTTCACCACTTTATGACCATTGAGGATTTTCAGACTGCCCAAACTCTCTCTTCAAAATTTTCATTCCTGAATTTTCAGCTACCCGATAACCGCTTGTGTGTCCAAGTCTCTTCCTGCCCGAAGCTCCTGCATTTCCTTCATGAGTACACTCATGCTGTTTTCAAGCGGATCCCGAATCACACTCATCTTACGCCTGAGCTCGTCATTTTCCCTAATGAGCCGGTCTACCAGACTTTCACTGCTCACCGTTTCTCTATCAAGCTTCCTTCCGAATTCTTTATTTTCCCTTCTCAACCTCGATAATTCATCGTCAGCCTTATTGATCCCACTAGTTTGTGTCACCGTAGAAGTCAAAGGCTTCCTTGCTGCCAGCAATACCCCGCCATACAAGCTCACTATCTCAGTCCTTCTTCTTTCTTATCTGTTTTTCCCTCTATTTTGTCTTTCTCTACGATTGTTGATGAGGGTTGTTGTTATTGTTTCAGCACTTGCTTATTCAGTATGTCATCGATGCTCGTGTAACTTTACCATATCCTCGTGCGAGTAACCGCTGTCTGTGTTGCCCCCCGTAAGTCGTACGGAGGGTTTTTCGTACGGTTATACGTACGGACGGGAGT